TAGGATATACATTTTATAATATGATAAATTGTATAAAATCATATTTGAGTACAAAGTTGATAAAATGTATAAAACCATTTAAGACAAGTAACTGATGGCAAAATAAGGTAATCATCGTATCAACTTGCGCAAGTAATTGATAATAAAATAAGGCAAGTTATTAATAAACGAATTAACTAATTAAAAGCCTTTACCAACACGGTATATCTTTCCTAATACCATAATATGGTTATAAAATTAAAGAATAATAAATAGTTTTGATTTTGATATATTTTAAATTTATAGAAATATATAATAATTATGTTTTATCACTTATATTTATTATAGAAATTTGTATTTAACCGATTTAATTCTAACATTAGTATTAGAAATATATACAAAAATGTTACACATATCATATCCTAACCCTGAATTATATACATAATTTATTATGTGATAAATTGTATAAAGTTATATTATAATTGACATAGAACTATATAGTTTATGATGACAAGAAAAAGATGACAAAAAAGAAATATATAGTTTACATATATGAATTTATAGGATATACATTTTATAATATGATAAATTGTATAAAATCATATTTGAGTACAAAGTTGATAAAATGTATAAAACCATTTAAGACAAGTAACTGATGGCAAAATAAGGTAATCATCGTATCAACTTGCGCAAGTAATTGATAATAAAATAAGGNGTTGATAAAATGTATAAAACCATTTAAGACAAGTAACTGATGGCAAAATAAGGTAATCATCGTATCAACTTGCGCAAGTAATTGATAATAAAATAAGGCAAGTTATTAATAAACGAATTAACTAATTAAAAGCCTTTACCAACAAGGTATATCTTTCCTAATACCATAATATGGTTATAAAATTAAAGAATAATAAATACTTTTGATTTTGATATATTTTAAATCTATAGAAATATATAATAATTATGTTTTATCACTTATATTTATTATAGAAATTTGTATTTAACCGATTTAATTCTAACATTAGTATTAGAAATATATACAAAAATGTTACACATATCATATACTAACTCTGAATTATATACATAATTTATTATGTGATAAATTGTATAAAGTTATATTATAATTGACATAGAACTATATAGTTTATGATGACAAAAAAGAAATATATAGTTTACATATATGAATTTATAGGATATACATATTATAATATGATAAATTGTATAAAATCATATTTGAGTACAAAGTTAATAAAATGTATAAAACCATTTAAGACAAGTAACTGATAGCAAAAGAAATTAATCATCGTATCAACTT